AGACTCAGGCTTCAACTCACAAGACACGTCGCATCGTCGCACTTGTGCCTCAGAAATCTATACCGGAAAATTAAAAATTGTTAATAACACGACAAGCTGCGTGGCAACGCAAGCAAAGTGGTGAGGCTGTGGTGCTGTGGTGCAACTACAGAAGAAAAAAAACTGTTAGAATTGCTTTTCGGTGTTCGCGACAAAGAGAACACAACGTTGTGAATGTGAATATGTTGAATGTTGGATGTGGTTCAACTTTTTAAATTGCAATCGCAAATAGTTGCTAGCGAGAGAGAAGGAGTGTGTCTGAGAGAGAGAAAGACGGAGAAAGAGATAGAGACAGACAGAGAGCGATGATCTGAAGCTCACATTTGCTCACATATAAATCTTGCGGCCTGGCCAAAAGGGTGCCAACAAAGCGATGAATTTTTAAGCAAAGAAAAAAATAATTTCTAAAAATTGCAATAAATATTGAGAGGCGCTGATAAGGCGTCAACATAAATCAGCTGCCATGTACAAAGACGACGATGAAGAAGAAGAAGAAGCAGATATTGCAGCAGCAGCAACACTCGCATAAGAAGAAGCAGAAGCAGACGCATACTTCATAGCGGAAATACCGCGAGTCAAACTGCGAGAGTGCAAATTGGAATTGGAAATTGTTATTAAGCTGAGAAACGCGTGACTAATCAATGCAATAGTGAACAAATCTTCACACGACGACGCCCAACAAAAAAAGGCCTCCAACTGGGGGCAGGATTGGCCAACAGAGAGTAGAGCTACAATGTGCGGCGAATACTTGTACAAATAAAATATTCCCCAGACTTTAGAAAACTAGAAATGCTTTTTTACAAATATATTCGAATTATAACAAATAAATTTCTACAAAATAGGAAAGCTTTCTTCCTATCTTTAATCCCATAAAAAATATATTACTGATAAGTAGAAGTGGCACTTTCTAAAATACTTAATGGGACATTATTTTTGTCAGTGTTCAGGTGAGACGATAGCGACAGGGTTTGATATCTTTATAACTAATTCGCTAACCGATCAACCCAACGAAATCAATACAATTGCACGCTTTCTGCACACAACGTGAAGTTGAACCACAACCACAACAACGACAGCACATCACCACCCACCCACACAATCACACAACCAAGAAACAACAGTCAACAAGCGAAACACTTTCATTGCCCCCAATTGCAATGTGTGCCAATGGAGATTGGGTTACAGCTTTGTTTGATAGCTCCGCTTGAGACTCTTGATTGATCCATAAGTAGAAGAGACAAGACACTAGAGAGCTTTGAGCTTAATCGGTTAAATGACTTAGAAATCTGCTAGTTTTGGAATTTTGGCAACAATACAATGCGTCACGAATATTAAACACAAATTACCAAAACGCACGCAACACGCACGACTTCTTTTTGAATAAGGCACCCATATTTTTTATACTCTGCTAAAAGAAGTGAATTGAATGGCTGTCAGTCTGGTAGGACAACATTGTAGTTGTATTTGAAACCATTTGCAATTGCTTAGTTCAATACATAGTTATATATTTGTATAAAAAAAGATATATTTGTGTAAATTCATTTCATAGGGTCCCCCTTTCAGAGCTACTAACTATTAGATGATTTTGCTGTGATCAATTAACTCGTATGTAAATGCTCAACACGAGCACGCACGAAATCAGTCACTTGAACAAGACGACGGGCATCAAAACTATAGAAACCAAAGCTTACAGTATTTGGGCAATCAGCTTCTCTCCGTTCTCCACTCTCCAATCTGTGCACTTGGCATTTAGACGCTCATTTCTGTGGCACGTAGTCATTTCTCATCAGGCTGCGCTGTTGCGGCACACAGACTCGCATGGGGCAGGTAAATCATCCACATCTGCCGGAAATTGCATAAAAATATGCAAGGCCTAGGCAATAGCAACAGCATCAGCAGCACCAGCAACAACAACAACAACAACTACTCAGTTTTGTGGCAGGAGATTGGGGAGTACAGAGTCTGTGGCAAGTACAGTAAGCCACGGGCCTGAGACATGTCCGACTCTTATCAAAAATAGCGGCTGGCTGCGTGATAATCCGCGGCAGAGACACGACCGACATTTGGCCACCTTCTATTAGCCCCGCTTGTGCCCTCCCCGTCCCCCCTTTAGCATTGCTCCGTTTGGCCTGGCCGAGGTGTTAATCAAAGCCAAGCCACGATCACGGGCCCAGGATGTGGCTGACTGGGGAGCGCTCTCAAATAGTTTCTCAGCACCTCGAGCCTCACACGCCACATTCAGCCTGAGCCTCAGTCTCAGCCTCAGTTTCAGCCTGAGCCTCGGCCTCAGCCTCAGCCAGTTAGCCAAGTAGAAGCGTTGCAATCATCTTGAGGCTCGACCGCATTGTTGTTGCCTGTTGCTTCGTGTTAGTTGTGTTTGGCTTTTTTTTCTTCGGTTTTTGGCCATGACAGAATTTCTCTTCGTTTTGGTTTGTTTCGTCGTATACGATAAATAAGGTAATTGAATGAAATTACTTTTGACAGCTTATTTGCATACATCAACAGCGGTTGCTGCTGCTGCTGCTGCTGCTGAATTGGAGTTGAGTTGCGAGACTGAAGAAACTGAGGCCTTGTTAGGCCATAATTGGTTATTGAATGCTTCTCTCTGCATTACCCCCTGATCTCTTGCCATCCTCTTAAAAAGCTCACAAGTGTTTCGAGTGTGTTGACTGTGAGGAAGTGCGTGATGACAAAGATGAATAACTCTCAACTCTCGAGATTCTTGACGACAACTTCGATTTCTGAATCTTTGTGGTGTATGAGGCAAAACGAGTGACTTGGACAACGAACTTGACTTTGAGCTGAGAAGTTACGAAATGTGTAACGCGTTGAAAGTGACATTTGTGAAGTGATCAAGTGATGAAGATGAGCCGAGAAGATATAGTCAGATATATTGCTTAACCATGTGAGGCTATCTCCATAAAGTTTGGTACTGAGCTTCATTTTTGCAGTAGGCAGCTTATATAAAGAAACATGGAAGCAATTGGACTAAAACGAAGTTTTTCAAGAATCTTTTCATTTTACAATCTTAAATCATTTTATCAAACTACAATCACTTAGCTCTTGCATTCATTTGGCGAAATGACAAAATCTTTCAGAGTATTTTGCAATTTTGTCATGTTTTTTTTGTTATTAGTTTAACAAATATTTGTCATATTTGTGTGCAAATTAAGTGTTTCAGCTGCTCCTTTGCTCGTTCTCCTGCTCTTGTAAATGTGGCTATTGTCCAATTGTTGGGTTGATTTGCCTTTCACAACAGCAATTGCTGTTGCTGTTGATATACCACTGCAGACTGAACAGACCAGACTTCAGCAGCTACTTCTGGCCGTTATCTGCGGTCCCACGAGTTCAGGACAGATCAGGCGTTGGCTGGTTGTTGACTGTTAGCTGTTTTGCTCATCCCAAAGTCCAAAATTCGTGTGGGCGTTTGTACGTTTTTCTTTTGCTTTTTTTATTTTATTTTTTTTTTGGTTGCAGTTGGGGTTCAGACTGCGAGGGCCTTGTTTCTCAACAGCCGTACAATGTTGTTGACAGATAAAATTGCCAATCTGCTTGGCTCTGACGACATCGTCTCTGTCTGTCTGTCTGTCTGTCGTTGGCGACAATTTCGCTCGGGTTAAACGAGTTTAAACTGTTGCCAACTAAGCTTAATGAAAGTCTTTAGTCGCAACGGCAGCCCAGCAAACAGCAGCTGCAATCTAAGCAAATCTTCTCGAGCAGTAGCAGCAGCAGCAGTAACATTCAGTTCGATGCCTTTGGCTTACAAAAAGTGTAATTAGCGCAGAAATTGAACGTGAGGAGTCGCCGCGACGTGGACACGTTTCGCTTTAAATGCATATCAGTCTGGGAGTCTGTGGCTGAGACACACTCACAAGACTGACACTGCGGAGGGGTACACTGACAAAAATACAACGTCAAATTATCTGTACTTAAATTGCAAGCTAGCGATGTCAGTATAGTCAAATATGTTTAAGCCCTATAAAGAAAAGATTTAATTTATTTTAAGCCTTCATTTCCTTCAGTACTAAATCGCTCTTAGTACTCGATTTATCTCAGTGTAGCTGCTGTCTTGTTGTCGTCTGTTTAACCTGAAAAGGGTTGGGGTATTCCACTATTTAAAGTGAAATAATGACAGTTTTAATTGCAGATTTTTGTATACTTTTTTTTTGCTCGTTGTTGTTCGTTGGCGTTAAAATGCCAGGACTGACTCTTGACTGTCAACCCCATCCGTCCCTTCCCGATCAGGCCACTCCTGCTGATATGGGCCTCCTCCCCCCACGCTGAGCTATTTTTAGGGTGGCGTAGGCCAGCGTGCAACGTACAACAACAGCAGCTGAGAGTCAAATGTAAATGTTGATTACGCAAATGCCAACTAATTGGCAACCATTAAAGACCAGGTCATTGCTCCTGTGCAACAACTCAAACAAAAAAAAAAACCTTTTACAGTTGCGGGCGTCTTTCGAACCAAAGCGAAATAAAATAAAAACCAAATTTAAGTTGACATACGCTTAATACGCCACAGCCTGAGGCTGCATCGGCCAGCTCGATTTTTGGCCGGCAAACGAAACAAAGCATGACCAGAACAAATTGCTGTTGCAAATTAAGTTAAGCGGCCGCAGTAGGGCACGAGGCGGCAGGAGGGAGGAGGGATCGCGATGCCTTTTAAATCAAATTAAAATTTTGACAACTTCATTTGTAATCTGCAGAGCAACCGTTTAACCACCCGAAAGAATCCACATTAAGCACCACTAAATAACACTCCGCAACTTTGTTGCTGTCAGCCATATCAGTCACTATGCTTTATATTATTTTTATATACATAATTAACTTAATTAAATCCTCTTTTACCCATTAATAGGCTAAATATTTTGAAATGTTGCATATTGAATATATTTTATAAATAAATTTTATTGTTGAAAGAGCATTGTTAACAATTCCAATTATTCTTCTCTGCCTTTCAGGTATCCGCCAGTGATCCGGATTGTGGTGTCAACGCCATGGTCAACTATACGCTTGGCGAGGGCTTCAAACATCTGACGGAGTTCGAGGTGCGTTCCGCATCCGGAGAGATTTGTATTGCCGGCGAGCTGGACTATGAGCGGCGCAACAGCTACGAGTTTCCGGTGCTGGCCACCGATCGGGGTGGATTGAGCACCACGGCAATGATCAAGCTACAGCTGACGGATGTCAATGATAATCGGCCGGTGTTCTATCCGCGTGAATATAATGTGTCGCTGCGTGAATCTGGACCGGCACAGGCTTCGAGCACACCGATGCCTATTGTGGCTGTAGTTGCCACTGATCCCGATGCGGGCAGCTTTGGTCAAGTCTCGTATCGCATTGTGGCCGGCAATGAGGGGGGCATCTTCCGCATCGATCGTGCCAGTGGGGAGATCTTTGTCATCCGGCAAGATATGTTATCCGTGCGCACCCAGCCGATGCACATGCTCAATATCTCGGCCACAGATGGCGGCGGTCTGCGCACCAGCACCGATGCCGTGGTCTTCCTTAGCATTATCGATGCCATGCAACGTCCACCGATCTTCGAGAAGGCCCGCTACAACTACTATGTCAAGGAGGATGTACCACGCGGCACTGTCGTTGGATCGGTGATAGCCACCAGCAGTGACACTGGTGAGTACTCTCTACTCCCTGCTTTCCAGTCTCTACTCTCTCCTTAGAACCCAAATCAAACACATAGAGTTCCGCTCTCTCTTTCTCTCTTTTATCCCGAGTCAAATTATGTATACTATGTAGCTTTGGGTCAGTGTCGCGACGTCTTTGTATTGGATTGCATTCATTAGTTCAGTGAGCTGGAATACAAAATATATGCGCATATGATGGACAAACAGACGGACGGACGAACGGACAAGCTGTGGAGTGGTCCAACGGTTGAATGCGCCAATGCCCAAATGGTCGAGTCAAAAAAAAAACCCCACAAGGAACAGTATTCTGACCGTAGGTTTAATACCCTTACAGGCACAGAATCGCAAATATTAGTTTGATTTTTATATCAAAATCCTATCAACAAAATTGATAACGCCTAAGTTAGCCAAGCTGGCGTAATAAGTAATGATCAGTTTAAGAAACTAAGTAACTTTATTCGGATTAAACAAGAATAATCCTTGTTCGAGTCAGTTGCTGTCTTTAGGTGAAAGACAACAAAAGTAACAATATTGCTTGGCGAATAACTTTTTCAAAGCACATGCATATTTCATGCCAAAGTCACCAGACTCTCTCGACAGTCGTTTAACAAGCCAAAGAAAATTAAAATAAAATTTGTACAAGCCAAACAAAAAAAGAAAGAACAAAATGAACTGGCAGCGCCTGCAACAAAATGGGCCACAGGCCGACAGAGAGTCGCATTCTCAATCGTTAGTCCAGGGGAGGGGTGGGGGATGGGGAAGGTGGAAGGGGATGGGAAGGGACTAGAGGCAGGCACAACAATGCCAAAGCCAAAAACACTTCAAACGCAAATTTCGGCAGAAATCTGCACCCATCAACGAATATTCGAAGTGCTCGTCAGCGCTTCGACTCGCTCTGCTCACCGATACAAAAGGCCAAGACACGAGCATCGAGCAGCACATTTGAATGGTTGGTAGGGGGAGTAGAGGGGGATGGTTGAGGGATTGAGCTGCTGTTCAAGTTTAAGTTGGTAGTCATTTTTTTCTGTTGGGTTATTTTTCTTTTTGTGCTGGCTATGCAAAATGAATTTTGAGCTTTAATTTGCTGCTTTCGCTGTGCACTTCCTTTCATTCCTTCAGTTCTTGCAGCTCTCTCATGTGTCAATCTGGAATGGAGGTTCATTCCTGCCATCGCTCCTATTGTTCCTTGTGCCAACTCATTGAGCATCTTTTGTTTGCGACTCTCTGGCATTTGAATTGCCTTTAATGAGGCACCTTCTTAACAAAGACTTTCCCATTCCCATTTTTCCATTCCCTTCACATGAAACAACCACATTCTTTTTTACCAATTTGTGTCTTCTTATTTCATTTATTTTCTTTTCTCTCAGCTCAACGGAGTCCAGTGCGTTACTCGATCTACTCGGGCGATCCGGATGGCTACTTTAGCATTGAGCCCGCCTCGGGCAACATACGCATTGCCCATCCGCTGGACCATGAAGCGAAGGCGCAGGTATTGCTGAATATCCAAGCGACCAGCGGGGAGCCGCCCGTTTATGGCCACACGCAGGTGAACATCGAGGTGGAGGATGTGAATGATAATGCGCCCGAATTCGAGACGAGCATGGTGCGCATTTCGGTGCCAGAAAATGCCGAGCTGGGCACACCACTCTTCGCTGCCCATGCACACGACAAGGATTCGGGCAGCAGTGGCCAGGTGACCTATAGCCTGGCCAATGGGAATGCCACCAAGTCGGGCAAGCAGAAGGCGGCACAGGCCTCGTCTCTGTTCGCTATCGATGCACGCTCGGGCCACCTTGTGCTATCACGACATCTGGACTATGAGACAGCGCAGCGTCACTCGTTAATTGTGACGGCCACCGATGCCGGATTGCCGCCACTCTCGGCAGATCTCACCATACTCGTTGATGTCCAGGATGTCAACGACAATCCGCCCGTCTTCGAGCGCGACGAGTATGCGGTGAATGTGTCCGAGTCGCGATCCATCAATGCCCAGGTAACGTAACCAAAAACCTACTCATCACAAACACAAACTTGTTGGTTGGCTCCCCATCCTAACACTTGGAAAAATCAAATGTTTGTCTTAGAAAGTGAGCAAATCTTACAAAATAACAGATATATGAGATTCAGAGAGTAATGATGTATAACTTTTAGGAAAGAACAACAAATTTATAAGAATATTCAATGAAGTTTAAAAATGTATAAATTCTTATCCTCTTCACTTACTAATAAAATCAAGTTAATAATAAATAGACTATTATAACTATATTAAATATATTGTCTGCTGTCATTAGTTGTAAAGATTTTCCAACACAATTTCCAAGATCTGTGCAACTCCTCTAAGCTATTTGTAAAGTAAGGCATTTATTTTTTTCTGAGTGCATAGTTACCCGCGCTTCCCAGCCACGATTGCGTCCTGGGTTTTATTGAAAAATAAATTTTTGTAATGCAAACTAAATGCGCAACATAAATTTGATTAACAGCCCGTAAAAGTCACGCTTTTGTCAGGCGAGCATCAATATCTTTTTTAAAATATCTCAACACCCCAGAGAAGATGCTGCTGCTGCCGTTGTGACTGCTGCTGCGGTTGCTGCGGCTTCTGCTGCTGTTGGTTCCACAGCCAGTCTGGCAGTCTTTGGCCAGCAACTGCTGCCTGTTGCACGTTGCATGTTCGGCTTTTGCCTCACGCCTTGCGCGTTGAACTAGTTTTGATCATAAAATCACTTTATATCTTTTGGCATCACGAGGCGGACAAAGAAACGAGTTGCCGCAGTCGCAGTTCTAGGGATTCCTCTAGAGATTTACGCAGACAACCATCAGAGATTCCAATGCCGCCGATTAAAGCGGATGATTGACGACCGCCAGCCGTGTTTGCCATGTAGATCTCCCTCTCTCTGCCTCTCTTTCACTCTCTCTCTCTCTCTTTTGCACTCTCTCTGCATGGCTTCTCTTCTCTATTTTATTTTCATTTGCTGCTGCAAATTAACACAATCTCTATCATTGTTTTGCAGATCATCCAGGTGAATGCCAGTGATCTGGACACAGGGAACAATGCAAGAATCACCTACCGCATTGTGGATGCTGGAGCGGATAATGCCAGCCAGAGCTCGGCGAGCGTTTCAGGTGTGGATACTGATCTTGCCCAGCATTTTGGAATATTCCCGAACTCGGGCTGGATATATTTGCGTGCTGCCTTGGATCGGGAGAGCAGGGATCGCTATGAGCTCACGGTTTTAGCTACAGATAATGGCACTCCAGCGGCACATGCTCGAGCACGTGTGCTCGTCCGCGTGCTGGACTCCAATGATAATGATCCCAAGTTTCTGCGTGAGAGTTATGCGTTCAAAATTGAGGAGAATCTGAGACGCGGCGCGGTTGTGGGCGTTGTGAGTGCCACCGACGCGGATCTGGGCGAGAATGCGGCCATACGTTACAGCTTGTTGCCGGCGAATTCCAGCTTTCAGGTGCATCCCGTCACAGGTGAGTCGAAATATCCGCTTGCCATAAATTAGTGTCTTTTCGCGGTACCCAGCAAATGTGTCGCCAGTCGAACAACTCACTCAACGCTCGCTCGCTGGATCGCCCCGTTAGAGAGTGAATGCATGCGTACACAGTGAGAAAAATTCGTTAAATTCCAATCTTGATAGTCGAATTAAAAGTCAAATTACTAAAGAAATCAATAACACGCTTTGAACTCATATTATCATCATTTTCTTTTCTAGTAATTGGACACTGTTAGTTGCTTTCTATTGCTATTTTTTTGTAAAGTAAATTGGTTTAATTCGTTCAATTTTTCTCTGTGTGCTGCTGTTGTCCAAAAGTCCGTGTTGGAGTTGGGAGTCGGGCGTCCAAGTCCAGCAGCCAGGCTGGCAGGCAGGCAGCGAGTCAGCCATGACCCATGGTCATTCATTATTGCTCCAGTTGGCTGTCGCTTCTGCACTGCTCCTGCTGCTTGCCACATTGGCCATAGATCAAACGGTGCACGAGAGCGGAAACCAGTTCGCCTGTTTGTTTCAATGTTTCTGTTCGAGATATGCCAGCTAGATGGCCAGATAGGCACGAGAGAGATAGAGATGGCGCGAACTGCAACCTGGGGATACAGATGTGAAGATGTGCAGATGGAAGCCTGTTGTATCCAGGAGTAGCGCATGACCATTAGTGTTCGAGCAACAACAGTTTTAACGCTGTCAGCTCATCCGTCAATGGAATATCATTGGGTTGACATTCTGCCAGGCCACTGCATGTGTATTTGAGTTTATATATGTGTGTGTGTGTTTATATCGGTGTGCGTGTCCGCTCTTGGGGGCTCCTCGGCACACAGCCAAAGGAGCTCTCGCTTCATTTAAATTAAATATGGAAATCGCGTGCAGCTAATCCTGGCACCAGCACCAACAATAGCAACAACAATTGAGTCTGAGACAAACTCGTTTTTGTCTGACATGATTTTCTTTTCGCCGCCACAGGCATGCCACTTTTTGATGGCAAACAGGCAAAGGCACCACCAGCGCACCATTGCAGTCACCTAGACCAGCCAACTCAACTGACACAGCGGCAAACACTTTGGCATTAATCATTGGCGACCCAGTTTACGGGAGCCACATTTTTCAAACTAATCAACAATAGTTAGTTTCCCCCACAATCTCCCCCCTCTGCGACGTGAGAAAGAGAATTATATTCTTTATATTATATTATATTTGTGTGTCGCAAGGAACATTTATTATTATAATGAAAGTGTTCTGTGTTTCTAGGAGCAATGAGTTACTCTGTATGCATAAATAGTTCTGATGAGTCAGGATAAAATTCTAATTAGTTATTAAATCTAAGCCAACGTGACTCCTGCACCTATGTTCTATATAATTACACCTGATAAGCTAACAAGCCATCTCTTCTCCATTCTATAATTGCAGGAGAGATAAGCACACGCGAACCACTAGATCGGGAGCTGCGTGAACTGTACGATCTGGTCGTGGAGGCTCGGGATCAGGGCACACCGACGCGCAGTGCTCGAGCTCCTGTGCGTGTGACTGTGACAGATGTGAATGACAATGCGCCGGAGATAGCGGATCCGCAGGAGGATGTGGTGAGCGTGCGCGAGGAGCAACCACCCGGCACTGAGGTGGTGCGCATACGTGCCATTGATCGCGACCATGGCCAGAATGCGTCCATCAACTATTCGCTTCTGAAGGGTCGTGACTCCGATGGGCATGGTTTGTTTAGCATCGATGCCAACACGGGCATTATTCGGACGCGCGTCATGCTCGACCACGAGGAGAGGAGCATCTATCGTTTGGCTGTGGCGGCCACCGATGGCGGCAATCCGCCCAAGCAGACGCTGCGAATGCTTCGCGTCGAGGTGCTCGATCTGAATGACAATCGGCCGACGTTCACCAGTTCCAGTCTCGTTTTCAGGGTGAGTGAGAGATTTATGGGCGGGTCATTTGCTCCCACCAAAAGGGGGGAGCAGCAGACGCAGACAAAGACACTGAGACTGATTCCAGGAAAACTTTTGTCTATTTGACGCTTCTAGTTTTACACGACGTCCGTTCGTTCGTTTCTTGATTTCCTGCTTTGCTGGCTTGCTTCTTTTTTTTCCTAGTTGTTATTTTTGTTGTTGTTGTTGTCAGTCGTGATCTGCGCGTTTTTTGTCGCCTGTGCCTTTTGTGCGGATGATTTGTTACATCGGGCGTCACGTGACAATGGCCAAGAACACGATTCCACAAAGACTGCTAAAAAACAGACATCAGCTCTACTACTCTCCATCTTTCTTCTCTCTTACTCTCTCTATCTCTCTTTCTCTCTCACTCTCTCTCTCTCGGTGCAGGGTGGTCAGTGTGGTTGCGGGTGTGGAGCATCTTTTTGGGATTTGCACTCAACCAATTCACATAGTTACCGAGAGGGACGGAGGGAAACGAGCCTATGCAGCTACAACATCTTTGTCGTCCCTTGTCGTTGGTCATGGCGCACGCGTAATTGTCACTTGGCGAACTGTGACTGCAGCTCCTCCTCCTCTGTTCCTTCCCACGTTTAACCCTTGCCACTTGCAAGGCGTTGACGATGCTCTCGCCCATTTCGTATGATTCGTAACCACCAACTGGTTGTTATACTCTTTGCAGAGGGTATTTCATTTTCGTATCTATGGTATGAAAACATAAGTTATATGCAATCTTTGTTTAATTAATGGCTCCTGGGATAATGGATAGTACTTGATCCTTGAGAAAATTTCGGTGATGCTTCCATCTGGAGACGCATTTGAAGAATGTAAATGTTGAATGAAGTTTATTTATTTACATTTTGTAAATGATTAGTTTGTCTGTTGGGATTACGTATATCAGAACTAGTTGAATTGGTTGTCTTAACTATTATAGCATATATATGATTATGCTTCTTAATAAATCTTGGACAGTCTCTAAAATGTTAGAAATAATACAAGTCTAATTTCAAAATAATATTACAACGAACAGGCAAGTAGACAGCTTTGTTCAGCAGAAGCAGCCAGAGCCACTACAGCAACCACCACCGCTGAGAACGATTTTGGTTGTGACGTTTTAACATTTTTATCACGTTCGATTCGCACATGTTTTGCATACCCCGCACATTATTGCATACACATGCCTATCTGCAATCCAGCACCACCATTCACCATTCAGCTCTCAGGAGGCACCACTGCCACCAACAACACACAACACTACATGCCTTCCTGTTCTGATGTTTTTGTTGTTCTTTTTTTTTTTTTTGTATTTGTGTTGTTGCCCCACCAGCAGCACCACTTGCTCGGGCTGTTGCATTTCCGACACTCGTCTTCTCTGATGACTGCGACGCTTTGACATGCATTTAATTGCCTCTCTCTCTGCCTCTCTCTCTGCCTCTCTCCTGTCTCTATCGCGTCCGCTCTATCGCTCGCATCTCTCGCTCTCAGGAGCGTCTGTCAGTCAAGCGAGCCCTCGCTTCTGCCCTGCCACCCCTTTCGAGAGCTGCTCGTCGTTCCCTTAAATCCGCTTCGGCAACAATTAAAATTGACACATTTCGTTGCGTTTCAGTCAGCGGCTTTGCCTTTGATTTCAGCTCTTTGTCTTCTCTCAACTGCATCTGCATTCTTCTCGCTTTGTTCTTATGCGTTGGCGTTGCAGTTGCAGTTGAAGTTGAAGTTAACCATGAAGTTGACTGTTGAAGTTTTGGATTGTTGAACTGTTGCCCAGTTCGCCAGTTGGCCAGTTGAATGCTATGCGGCTTTGGGCTTTAGGCCTTCACTAAATAAATCTCTTACTCTCTTGGGGCATATAAAATGCGTTGTTGTAATTAAGCAATTTCAGCATAAGACGAAAACAGCGCAGAAAAACAGTTTTAAGCTGCTGGTGGCTGCTGGTGGCTGCTGGCAACTGACAGTTTTCATTTCTTATTGAGATCCTTTTTGCAACACACTCGGCAAAAAATCACATTCGCAAGGCTCCAAAGTATTTCGAATGTCTTCCATTTAAGATCAATAATTAAATGTACCTAAATCAGTGTATAAAATAAATATGGCATGAATAAACGTTTTTCTCTCAGTGCAGTCAGCTATAAAGAAAAGTACACAACAAATCATGCGCCATTTTGGCAGTGTCCATTTTTGTGTAGCAATTCCCGTGCATAATTTTTTGGTGGTTGAGCGCAATCGTAACTGCAGCCGCAGCCGCAGCAGCAGTAGTCGTTAGTAAACCCAAAAGGCAGCACCACTAACAAAAAGAACAACAACAGCACCACCACCACTAACTTCAGTTTCAGTAAAGTCTGCGTACCTTCCTTGCTGCGTAATCTTGGCCAGGGCATAAATCTCGAGACTGTCATTTTTGTGTCTCCATTTTGGCGACCCAAACAATATTTTCAATGTTTTTTTTCGTATTCTTCTCTTTTTCATATTATGAAAAAAGATACACACACACACAAATACCTGAGCCCTGCAGAAGACCTTTCTGGTTGTGTATTTTTTTTTTATGTTATGCTGCGAAACGGTTTTTGCGGTTTTGCATATTAAATTCTTATATGCGCAGAGTGGACGCTGCCCGCCCCTCCCCAACACACCCCTTTGCTAACCAATTGGTCTCACATTTTTCTTCAGTGATTTTCGGGGCCGCCAACTTGGTCGGAGTGCATAATTTCTTTTTAATGCCCATTGCCAATGCAAAGGAACAGAGCTTTGCCTCAGTTGCCTTTATTTGTGCTGCTTTGCCTGGGAATAAGCTGCATCTCAAAGAAAGATAGAGACACAGAGAGAGAAAGAGAGAGAGACGACACTCGTTGGATTTTTTTTTTTTTTTTGGGAATGAAATTTTAAATGTTCTGCTTCTGCCTTCGCAATCTTGAAGTATGAATTATTGCTTTAAGATTGGATTTTCAACACTGTTGCTGAGATTAAGATACCGCCAGACAGCAACAGCAACAGCAGTAGTAGAGGCAGCAACTGCAGCAGAGTATCAACGAACGAACGAACCCTCTTCTCGCTTAAATACCTAACAGCAAATATAATCTATAATTGCCTTGGCTGCATTTTTATTTACTCCTTATTTACGGCTTTATCCCTTTCGCGCTAAAACAGGTACGCGAGGATGCTGTCGTTGGCCATGTGGTGGGCTCGATTAGTCCCAATGAGCGTGCCGATCTGCCACCAGTTAGCAGTAATAGTCTGGATGAGCTGACCGATCTGCTGAGCGTCACATATACTCTCAATCCTTTGACAAAGGATCTGATTGAGGGCGCCTTCGATATTGATAGGAACACAGGCAATTTGGTTGTAGCCCGCCAGCTGGATCGTGAGTTGCAGTCGGAGTTTCGCTTGGAGATACGTGCTCTGGATACCTCAGCTAGCAATAATCCTCAGAGCAGCGCCATAACGGTTAAAATCGAGGTTGCTGATGTGAACGATAATGCGCCAACTTGGCCCCACGATCCCATTGAGCTCGAGGTGAGCGAATCCTTGATGGTTGGCTCTATCATCTACAACTTTACGGCCACCGATGCGGACTCGGGCACCAATGGAGAACTCCAATATCGATTGCTGCGCTATACACCCCAACTTAATGAGACTTTGGAGAAGACAACGCCAATCTTTGCCATGGACTCCCTGACAGGGTCCTTAAGTCTGCAAGCACCACTGGACTACGAGTCCTTGAAGGAATATCTGTTAATTGTTCAGGCTCTCGATCAATCCTCGAATGTCACAGAGCGCCTTCAGACATCAGTGACTGTACGCCTGCGCATCCTGGATGCCAATGATAATGCGCCACAGTTTGTGGTGCCCAGCACAAGTGGCGGTGGTGCAGCCACCGTTTATGTCAGCGATGCGACGCGCATTGGTGAAATGGTCACCCACATTTTGGCCGTTGATCGCGATGCTGGAGAGAATGGACGCATCTCCTATGACATAGTCAATGGCAATGGTGAGGGTCGGTTTCGCATTAAGCCACAGTCGGGCATCATTGAGTTGGCCAAAACGCTGCCACCTGCCTTCGAGCAACTGGACAAAACGGGGCGGTTCACGCTCACCATACGTGCCAGCGATCATGGTGTCCCCAATCCCAAGCAGACTACGCTCAGCCTTCAACTGATGGTGCAGGGCAGCCACAGCAATCCACCTCGATTTCTGCAGGCTGTTTATCATGCAACCATACTGGAAAATGTGCCCAGTGGCAGCTTTGTGCTGCAGGTCGCGGCAAAAGCTTTCCATGGAGCCGACAATGGTATGTACAAAATTTTAATAATTTAACTATGTATTTTTTTTTTACCGAGAAGTAAAATGTAAAGTGTGTCTAATTTAAGCATCTAGTCGGGCTTAAATAAAGGCAAATGCACATTCCTTTGGAGTTTCTCACTAATTTAAATTTCTAATCTGGTTTCTAATCACACTCGCGACTACAGCAAATCTGAGCTACGAGATACCCACTGGTGTCGCCGACGATCACTTCCACGTGGACTGGCAACGGGGCATTGTGACGACACGCGGCCAGTTCGATCGTGAGCTGCAGTCCCGTTACACTCTGCCCGTCTATGTACGCGATGCGAATCGTATGTCAGCCACGCCCACATCTGCTGTACGCAAGCAGCGCTCCTCGGAGAGCAACGCGGAGCTAATGAGTGGACAGCATTTCGATGTGGCAACGCTTATCATCAGCATTGGCGATGTCAACGACAATGCCCCCGAATTCCGACCCGGCTCGTGCTACGGTCTCTCAGTGCCCGAAAACAGCGAGACGGCAATTATTCACACAGTTGTGGCCAGTGACCTCGACGAGGGTCCAAATGCGGAGATCGTCTATAGTATAATCGGTGAGTGAAAACTTGGAAATAATTTCTATATGGAGGACATAAGTAAATACAGGGTTTCGGGACTTTGGATGTATATTTTTACTTTGATTTGCATCTAATTGGCCTTAAAGTGACTTTTTCATTCTAATATAATGACTAAGCCAACTCTCTTTCTTCCTTTCTCTATTTTGGCAAACAGGCGGCAATTTAGGCAACAAGTTCAGCATTGATGCACGCACTGGAGAGCTCAGTGCCCGTTCCTTGGATCGGGAGCAACACTCTCGCTACACGCTGCAGCTGCAGGCCTCGGATCGGGGTCAGCCCATCACCCATCAGGGTCATTGCAACATCAGTGTGTTCGTCGAGGATCAGAATGACAATGAGCCGCGCTTCGAGCTGGCAAAGTATATGGCCAGTGTGGCAGAGAATGCGGCCATTGGAAGCAGTGTGCTGCGGATTAAGGCCAGCGATGCGGATCTGGGAGTTAACTCGAGATTAGTCTACTCCCTGGCCAATGAGACGCAATGGCAATTTGCGATTGACAGCAAAAGCGGACTCATTACAACCGTCGGGTGAGTTTTTACTATCTACATACAAATATTCCCATATATTTAGTAGTATAATAATAACATTTACTACAAATATGTAATTTATATATATTATATAAGAGGGGCAAAGATTAGTTAAGAATTGCTTACTTCACATATATAGGAGGAGCCGTTCGGACTTTCCAGCTCATGCCATTTGTGCGCAACACTTAAAATATTTATATAAAAATATTATTTTACGGTCCATATAGTGTGTAATAAACTTGTCTTTTAATGCCGGTAAAAATGAAGCTTGAACATAAATTTTTTGTGCACCTGGGCAGTAAAGTTTTAATTTTCTATTTCTATGCTGAAATGAAATAATAAACTCTACGACCCCAAGGCCTGCTTTGCATTTAACATCAGTAAAGGTTTTCAACACTACTCCAAACTTTTTGGCACATTTATTTTTTGCTGGTTTTTGCAACTCAGGAAAAAAAAGCTCTAGTTGAAGCAAATTTAAAAATATTTTTGAGGAAGAAGGCCAATACTAACCCTATTCAATTACTGATTAATTTTCTTAACATAGTCCATTATATTTTTTTATCGATATTTTCATATTTTAGACAATTTTACAAGTAGTACTCAACACTACAGTAGGTGGCGCCACAAGGCAAAAAGAGTAGATTGTGTAAAGGATTAGGGTTAAGGTACGATTAACCTTGGGTTCATTGCAATGCAATCATCTTATCTGCGAGCCACATCTCTGCGCAAGGACAGATCAGGCAGTTGAAACATCGAAATACTTAATTTCGCTCCAATATAACAACCGCGAACTAATGCGACGGCGTTTGCGAAGTCAAGTACAAGTACAAGCCAGGCAGGCAGGCAGCAAGACAACAACATCCTACGCAGCAACAATCTAAGAAACCCTCGATCCCCCCTTATAGTTATAAATAGCATTCGGATAGTGTATCTCTCTGTAGGTGTGTGTGTGTGTGTTGAATACGCATACGTACAAAAAGGATTGGCCCTACTTTTTTGCTACTTCTCCTGCGAGTTGGCTTATAAGGTCTGACCAGGGTCTGGACTTGAGACGGACGGTATGGGGCCCCCTCTGGTGCAAATTTATGCTTATTGACAATCAATGATGACAACAATTGCTTGTTCCGTCTGATACTAAAGAAGGGGAGTGGTAGAAATTGCGTTTCCAGCGCTCAGTTCCGGCCTGAACTGCAGGCTCTACACTCAAAGAAAAATACGGCTATTATTCCTACAAAATTATTGACACAGTTGCAAAATATTCGCTCTTTAGTATATAAAACGATTTAGTAGCTAATTTAGTTTTAGATCAGAACTGAATAGTTTATAACAATATGAAATTGAGCTCTAGGATTTTTAACTTTGGCTGGATTTGGACATTCTTTGTAATGTTTTTCTGCGTGTGCAGTTTCTGCTCTTCTCACTAGAAATGGATTTTAGCTTTTTATCCTTTAATTTTTTTTATAGCACTGGAAGCACTTCTTTCGAGTTGACAGTAGCGTCAGTGTTTGGGCCATTTATACGAACGCGATCCGCTGTCATGTACCAATTTTTATCTTGCGCTGATTGTCGGCAAACAATAAAAACGAAATCCCCGCAAACCAAACAGCGACAACAGCAGGAATAAAAAAAACCAAACCAAACCCAAAGCGAACCAAAACAGAACTTGAAACAACAACGATGAGAACAGTGCAACAGAGCACCACACCACATGGCGAGGTAGAAGAATTGTAGAGCGACAGTCAAGACTGGACAGCGTGGACAGACGTACTGGACAGACGTACAGACAGGACAGCGTTGGGACAGACAATTCGTGACGTTGTTGTTAGTCTTGGATCGCTTTCGCGGTCTTGTGCTCTTGCACTTGGACTTGGGCTAAATAAAGGCTGGATTGGGTGGGGGGACAGCAACAACAACAGCTAAAACAAGAAAGAACGGCTATCTTAGGCACGCCGAAGATTACCGGAGTCAAATTGCCGACATCTACATTTCACTATAAATTTCAAAAACCAACCGATTATACCTATAAATGCTAAATGCCAAATTTTAGTAACATTATTAAATGCGTATTTAGAAAATATCTTATTCATAAAAAAGAGTTGGAATAAAAAGCAAGCAGACAAACGGACTCGGCGGTTATTGATACTAGTTAAGAATATATAAACTTTGTGAGATCAAAAACGTTTCCTTAAATGCGTTACGAACTTCAGGACAAAATCATAATACCCTCTACAAGGGTATAAAACAAAAAATGTTGTTGTAGCTGGTATTTTGTTTTTTTTTTTCCTACTTGCTCTGACGAGCTGACGAAGCTGGACAAGACTCTAGGCTAGCTTGTTGTAGCTGCTTGTCTGTCTCTCCATCTGTCTGTTGATCAGCAAGCGCAGCCGACAATGACAAACAGCAACAACAACAACACAAAATTGCTGACTGACCCTTTGAAAGTATTCTTGTTGTTGTTTCTGCCGTTTAAATAGACAACAACAACAACAAAACTACGACGACGAATCCGTAACGTGGAATGTTTCTTCAGCCCATTCCTTCACTTTGACTGATTCAATTCATAAAACCAGAAGAGCACAAAAGTTGACTTCACAATTCCGAAGTTGAAATACTCTCACAAATACTGATCGTTTAGCTCGTAATACAGAGTTACTTTAGAAAAGAATTAATTTCTTGATTAGTTTTTGCTATGAAGAATAATAGAATAATAACACTATTCACATATAGTCCAAAGTATGTACAATTCTTAGCTTTATCTAAATATCTGGAATGACTCGAATGTTTTCTTATAAAACTTCTCATCTTTCAATGAGGTATTTTTCATATTTTCTGAGAACATAATTCAAATAGCTTATCAGCTTGTCACCCCAAACAATGTATTACAAATTGCATGTCGGAAATTTTAAATACCACATTGTTAGAGTATAATCAGACTGAACTTATACATGGATAGCTGGAGCCGAAGAACTTCAGCTGAAACTGGATGAGCTCGTAATTTGCTAAATTCGTTTTATTGGCCGACATGCAATCGCAGCGAAACTTGCTCAAACCCTGCGGACTGCGGCTAGGATTTTAATCATTTTGGTTTATTATTTGTGGCAGATACCACATACCAGAATGCCACTTGCCCAGCCAGGCGATGAAGAGCCGCACAACAAACTTGACTGAAGGGGGACCGGCAGGTGAAGAGGGGAGGGCGCGCAGCTTGCTGTTGAATTAGCCACATAAAGGAAAGAGAATCGCAAGTGTGGATCATTTCAACAGGCAATATTTGCTGGCAAGCAAATGACTTAATTACCCAGACACACCTCAACTCCTTGTCCCTCGAAATGGAACTCGCAGTGGAGTTTTTCAGCATTAATTCTACATCATTTCGTGTGGATAATTATGGCTAGGATTACGCTTAGGCACAAGAGCAGCAACACTAACAGCAGGGGGGACGACTAATTAGTGTCGCTAAGGATGAGCAACTGATCTCTCGCTGTCCCAATCAGTGATTCGTATAGCCATTAAAAATATGTGAAAAAGTTGTGCAAATTTAACAGCAAGGAGTGGACATTAATTATACGGATGTATATATTCTTTGTCAGTATCAGCTAAAAGTATACCCGTGTCCGATATCTGAGGTTAAAAGAGCTATGCTTGAATTTTAATGATTAGATTATTCGATTTCAACAGCTCCCTCGAAAGTATATCTTGAAAAATTATTTAAAAATTGATTTGGTATACTGTGGATGTCAAGAAAGAAAGAGCACAAAAATTACCACAGTAAAAAAACACAGACATTACACACACGACCACAAAACTATATTAAGGCTGCTTACAGGGTTTGAAAGAACTTATTGTATTCTCTTACATCCATTATTGTCCTTTACTAATTGTCTTGCATTTTATTTTTGTGCTCTCCAAACAGCAAATTGGATCGGGAGCTGCAGTCGAGCTATAGCTTCATGGTGCTTGCCACCGATTGTGGACGCTATGAGGTTCGTTCCGGCAGCGTTGCGGTGCAGATCAATGTGCTGGACATAAACGACAACAAGCCGATATTTGAGCGTTACCCCTATAGCGGTCAAGTGCCGGCACTCATTCAACCTGGACAAACTCTGCTCAAGGTTCAGGCACACGATGCCGATCAGGGCTCAAATGGAGAGGTACTCTATGCCCTCAAGGCAGATAGTCTCCTGGGCTCAGCGGCGATAAGGAGTAAATTTCGTATTAATCCCAATACGGGAGCTTTGAGTGCCACACAGAGTTTGGCCAGCGAGACGGGAAATCTGCTGCAGCTGGAAGTGATTGCAAGGGATAAGGGTAATCCACCGCAGAGTAGCGTGGGTCTAATTGAGTTGATGGTGGGTGAAGCGAGTCCCACAGCGCCCCAACTGCATTTCCAAAATGAAACGTATAGAATGAAGCTGCGCGAGAATTCTCCAGCGGGCACAAGACTTCTCCAAGTGGGTGCCGTGCGAAGCGATGGAAGGAGACAGAAACTAAGTTTCTCCTTTGGTGCTGGCAATGATGAGGGCAGCTTTATTCTCGACTCCAGCACAGGTGAGATACGGGTAGCAAATCCAGCTCTGCTCGACTACGATCGCTTTGCCACGCCCACATTAGAGACGCCAAACCGCGGACGTGCCATGCACTACGAAGAGATGCCCGACCAGCAGGAGGAACAACAAGAACAGGTTGAGAATTCCAACAGCACAAATCGCAGTCAGCGAGCCTTGACGAGCTCTTCCTTCCCATTGGCTGCCACACAACCACATGAATTGCGTCTTGTGATGGTGGCACGCACCACAGAGCCACCATTTTTGTCCAGCTATGCCGAACTCATCGTTGAACTTGAGGATGAGAATGATAATAGTCCACAGTTTTCACAACGCCAATTTGTTGCCACTGCCTGGGAGGGAAATAGCAAGGGCACCTTTGTGGCCCAAGTGCAGGCCTTCGATGCGGATGAGAATGCAAATTCCAGGATGCGTTATCACATTGTTGATGGCAATCATGACAATGCCTTCGTCATTGAGCCAGCCTTCAGTGGCATTGTGCGCACGAATATTGTATTGGATCGGGAGATAAGAGATGTCTACAGCCTGAAGATCATTGCCACCGACGAGGGTGTGCCACAAATGACGGGTACCTCTACGATACGCGTCCACATCGTGGATGTCAATGACAATCAGCCAACGTTTCCGCCCAGCAACGTTGTCAGCGTCAGTGAGGGTAAGTTTGCACAAATCTATCAAATATATATATATATAAATAGAAGACTCCCCAAGGAGACTGAATAGAGATGAATTTTCTAAAAAGTTAATTAAGTTGAAATATGAAATACAAAATTTCAATTATAAGACCTTTTATCAAAATGAAATTGTCAACTAACTCATTCTCTCTTCCACATTCTCTTCACTATGTCTCCCTCTACCTATTTATAGCCACCGAACTGGGCGCCGTTATTGCGTCCGTGTCGGCAAACGATGTGGACACCTACCCAACGCTTACCTATCGCTTGGGTCGCGACTCACCTGTTGAGGTGGAGAACCTTGCAGTCTTTGGCCTGGATCGCTATAGTGGCAAATTGGTGCTGAAGCGTCGCTTGGACTACGAACTGCAGCAGGAGTACCAGCTGGAGGTGATAGCGTCCGATGCAGCGCATGAGGCACGCACCACTCTAACGGTGCGCGTGGCGGATGAGAATGACAATACACCGGAGTTCGTGGCACAGAAACCACCCGCTTACTTTGCACTACTGCCGGCGATTTCAGAGCTGGTTGACAGTTCCTCCATGGATATGGAGCTGTTAACAGTAAATGCCACAGATGCTGATGCCGAGGGTCGCAATTCACGGATAAGCTACCACATTGAACCGTCCGCCAGTGGATTTAGTGTACATGCCACATCGGGTGTGGTGTCCGTCAATATGAGCCAGCTGCCCGCTGCAGTCTCCAGCAGTGGAGATTACTTTGTCAACATTGTGGCCAGGGATGCGGGAAAACCGCAACGCACAGGCAGAACCCTGTTGCGCGTTCAACCCGGAGACAGTGCCACCGGACGTACACAATTCCTGCAAACGCAGTACCGTGCACAAATCAGCGAAGCAGCACCGCTCGGCTCGGTGGTGCTGCAGCTGGGTCAGGATGTCAAGGATCAGGCATTTAGCATAGCCAATGGCAATGAGGAGGGCGCCTTCGAGCTGCTGCCCACCACAAAAGCTATAGTGCTGGTAAAACAACTCGATCGCGAGCGCAACGATCTCTATAAATTGCAATTGCAGTTGACTCAAGGAAATGTTCCAGGTGGAACTATTTACAATTCCAACTCCAATTCAACGGCTGGGATTACGGTGTTCGTTAGTGTGTTGGACGCAAATGATAATGCCCCCGTGTTTGACGCCAATGCAAAGTATGAGGCAGAGATAAGTGAACTAGCGCCACTCCGCTATTCCATAGCTCAATTGATTGCTGTGGATGCCGACCAGGAGAACACGCCCAACTCTGAGGTGGTCTATGACATTAGCTCGGGCAATGATGAGCACATGTTTACCATCGATTTGGTTAGCGGTGTCCTCTTTGTGAATAATCGTCTCGATTACGATAGTGGTGCAACGAGCTATGAGCTAATTATACGCGCCTGTGATAGTCATCAGCCACGCTCACTCTGCAGCTTGCAGCCGTTTCAACTCTCACTGCACGATGAGAACGATAATGCACCACAGTTTCCACTGGGGGAATATGTGCACTTTCTGGGCGAGAATGAGCCCGCGGGTAGTTCCATATTTCGTGCTCATGCCACTGATCTGGATCGAGGTGCTTTCGGGCAGTTGAACTATAGTTTGGTGGCAGCGGAAGACGATGATTCGTCGTGGCGTCTGTTTCGTGTTGATGCAACCAGTGGCATTGTTAGCTCCGCGGCTGTCTTCGACTATGAGCAACGGCAACGTTATAATCTCCAGTTGAGAGCCAGTGATATGGGCGGAAGGAGTGCTCGGGTGGCTCTGCGTGTGGAGATTGAATCGAGGGATGAATTTACACCACAATTCACGGAGCGCACCTATCGCTTTGTGCTGCCGGCAACGACGGCACTTCCACTGGGCTTCATTGTGGGTCAGGTGCGAGCCACCGATGCGGATAGCGGTGCAGATGGTCGGGTGGTTTATCAGTTGAGCGCACCGCACAGTCACTTCAAGGTCAATCGCAGCAGTGGTGCAGTTCTAATCAAAAGAAAACTCGATGACAGTCTCATTGATAACGATAACGGACGTGATATCAGCCTGGTAATCTCTGCCTCATCGGGACGACACAATTCCTTGACCAATATGAGTGTGGTTGAGATTGCCTTGGATGCCCTCGCACATCCCAACACAAATCTAGCCTCCATTGGCGGTGATGCAGCGGGTGGTGCGAATGGCTCCTCTTCGGGTGGCCCCAGTGATTGGATTGTGGGTGTGCTGGTCACAGTGCTGCTAATCCTCTGCGCCGCCGCGGGAATCTTCCTGTTCATCCACATGCGCAGCAGAAAACCACAAAGAAATGCAGTTAAGCCACATCTCAGCAGCGAGCAGGTTGGTGTTGGCAATTCCAATAGCTATGTGGATCCAAGTGCCTTCGATACAATGCCCATACGTGGTGCAGCGAGTGGTGGTGCAACTGGTGCTGTTGCTTCGGGTCAGTTTGCACCACCCAAATATGATGAGATACCGCCATTTGGACCACATGCGGGCAGCTCGGGTGCAGCGACGACCTCAGAGTTATCCGGTTCGGAGCAGTCGGGTTCGAGCGGACGCGGCTCTGCCGAAGATGATGGCGAGGATGAGGAGATTCGGATGATCAACGAGGGACCGATGAGTCATCGCACCGGAGCTGGTGCTGGTAGCGATGATGGTCGCATCTCAGATATATCTGTGCAGAATACGCAAGAGTATCTGGCACGTCTGGGCATTGTGGATCATGATCCCAGTGGAGGCGGTGCAGGCGGTGGTGCGAGCAGCATGGCTGGCTCCAGTCATCCAATGCCTATTCCCATGACAATGCCAATGGCGATGCCAATGCCAATGTCCACGTTGCACATGTTCGATGAGGATGCAACAGCCCGATCGGATATCACGAATCTCATCTATGCAAAGCTGAACGATGTTGCCGGTGGTGCTGGTTCCGAGCGTGGCAGCAGTGCAGATGATGCAGCCACTACAGCGGGCAGCATTGGTACAGTGGGTCATGGTCATGGACATGGTGTGATGGCCAGTTATGGTGAGGTCCCAGTTCCCGTGCCCGTTGTCGTTGGCGGCAGCAATGTGGGTGGTTCACTCAGTTCCATTGTGCACAGCGAGGAGGAGCTGACGGGCAGTTACAATTGGGACTATCTGCTGGATTGGGGACCACAATATCAGCCGCTGGCTCATGTCTTCTCCGAGATTGCAAGACTGAAAGATGATACCATGTCGGAGCATAGTGGGCACAGTGGCAGTGTCAAAAGTAAACAGTCCATGGGTCACTCCTCGCACTCCTCGACGGGTGCGGGCAGCGTAGTGCTCAAGGCAGCACCAGCACCCGCCACACACATTCCCCCGCCGCTGCTGACAAATGTGGCGCCACGAGCGATTAATCTGCCGGGTGGTTTGCGCTTGCCACCACATCTCAGTATGACAGGCTTGCCACGCTCACCCATTGGCCATGAAGCGAGCGGTGGCTTCAGCACCTCTTCAGCCATGTCGCCATCCTTTTCACCTTCACTCTCTCCGCTGGCAACGCGATCGCCTTCCATTTCACCCCTGGGCGGTCCGGCAACCCACATGTCGCATGTCTCCCTGCCCCGCCACGCCCCCCAGCCCACGCAACGAGCGAATGTGGGCACACGCATGTGAAGTGTGTGCTATAATCTGTAAGCCCCAATTCGTGTGATCACCAATTTAGCGTTAAATCAAAATAATAATAATACATACTTAGATCTAGTTAGTGGCAGAGACTTGAATTCGAATGGAGCGCAGCGTACATGCATAATAGTATTACTTGCACCACCCTACCCACCACAAAAAAAAACCACCCTTGCACACACACAAGCAATCATTTATAATCATTACAATACATAAGCCCACAAAAGTCTCAGCAACACATTTTACAACTATATTTGCAATCTTATTTATTATTTTTTTAACTTTCCATTTGCTTTCTAAAATGTATATAAATATAAGAACCCTTTTGATTCAACTTTTCCCATGAATGCCTAAAATCATGCAATAAAATGCACTTCTACATAAGTCAAATATTCCTTTGTCCGCTACAAATGCCATCATTAAGTGCTTGCTGGGATCTCATTAAGCATATCAACATACCAACGCACACATATACACACACATACAGACACACTTCAGCACACGTGTATATAAATATATATACATAATTATATATATATATATAAATATACAGTCTATGTACGATTGTAGTAGTATACGACCACAAAGCCAACAAAGACTCTCTGAAAAAATACGCTTGGTTGGCCAAAGCAGCCGCCTTGAAGCGCCAACAGGGCCGACAGACAAACAAAAATAAGAAAAACAACAACCAAGCCAGCCATAAGTTGTAAGCATTTCTTTAGAACTAAAAAATGAAGAAGAAAATAAAATGTTAACTTTAACGTAGTACGTAATAAAATTAGTATGTAATACGTAAATACGTAGAGCTAAGCATAGAAGTCTAAACTAGTTTTTAAACGAGACGAGACGAATCGAAAGGAAACGCGACTAAACGAACCCAAGTGCACTTAAACCATTAAACATTACCATTTAGAATCGAAATGAACAGAATAAGGAGTAGAAGAAGAAGAACCGCTCGCATGTCTGCCTCCATTCCCATTCCCATTCCATTTCCCCATACCCCATGATATCGCATTATCAAAATAAAGAGAATAATCAACTGAGATATAGAGAAGGACCGAGACGAAGAGTTCGCGAGGAAAGGAATTTGTAAAAAGTTGTTTTTAGTAATCATTGGAGAGCCCTTGTAAATGTTTTTCATACTTAGCACGAAAGCGTATTTAAGTACATACAAATACATACATATATACGATAAATTATATGCGATATAAGTATATGTTATATAGCTTGTAAGTTGTAGCTGTTTAATTATTTTTCACTTTTTGTGTGATGCTATTTGTGTAATTTGTGTCTTGTGCGATCTAGCAAAGCTGTAAAAATTTATAAATACATATATAAATAAATATACTATGTATTCCCAGCCGTATGCTTAAGATTTAGTTTTTAATAGCGAAAGAAATCAAAAATAAATATGAAATATACTAAAAAAAAAAAAACAAAACAAAAGTTAAGAGACCTTACCACATTCAACATGGGTTAAAATTGCTGTTGTGGTTGTGATTAATTTCCATTAAAGTTTCGGTGGCCCCCGGCAACAAACCACCAAGCAGCAGACTGCCAACTTGCAACCACAAAGGACTGCAAGTTTGTTGCTGCCGTCGATGAGGTTGGCTATCATTTGGAAAAGAGACCTGGAAGTGGAAATGGATGGCGGGAAGAACGCCTTCATTATTCATTTTGTTACAGTTGTTTTCTTTTTGATACCCTTGCAACCGGTATTCACATTTGTGTCATTCAATGTGTAACATAGTTGAAGATTTCAGAGTTAGTAAAGTAAGTATATAAATACATTCTTAATTAATTTGAGAAGTTAAGAGCATATTGAAATCATTTTGATCGATAGCTGATTTATTCGGACTATGTAAATATATAAAATTTAATATATAAAATTAATTGAAAGGCGTTTAGCCAAGACTCCGAAAAAACAACTTTAAGGGGAGATTAGTAAAATATAATTACACTTTTTACACTTGCAGACAGGGTATTTAATCTTCATGTTATTATTATGTTGGGGGCAAATGCAAAAGTGGCAGACACGCCCCTGTCAGAGTGAGAAGGTGGGATCAAAGCAAAGGTCTTGCATAGCTGCTGCTCTCACATGTTCAAAGGTAGGTGGCAAAAACGTAGCTGAACTCTTGAACTGACATGCCACATACGCAGAAACAAATACTCTCTCTTTCTCTCTCTCTGTCTCTCCCTCTCTCTCTCTCTCTATCGCTCTCTCTCTCTCTATCTCTGCACCACTCGGCACAGCTGCCGCTTGTTGTCCCGCTTTGCAATCTGAGTCGACGATAGGCGGTGGACGCCTTGTTTCCACAGTTGTTGTTGATCTTACTGTTGCCACAATTGTTGCTGAAGGTTGCCAAACAAATTCTAGACGTTTCGCAGACGTAGCAGGTAAAGAAGAGGCAAAGGCAGTTGGCATTGGGAAAGGGGCAAGTTGAACAAGAAGCCAAGCGACGTCCACTTTATCTTCATTTCAAAGTCGTTGCATGAACTCATTTATTTGTTTGTGATTTCTGGCCAACAGCACACCTCTACGGCTTGAAGCTGGACTGCACCACTTCAGCACACCCGCTGAAGCCCCTCGAGCCCTTCAACTCTTCTTGTCGTCATTATCATTATATGCCCTCCTTTAGGGCCAAGCTGTGTTACAGTCAAACTTCTCTAAATCGAACAATTGTAAACAAATTTTTTGGCCAAAAAATAAACTATATCTTTAAATGTATCTCCATTAAAAATGTCGTTAGTCGAGCTTTCAACTGAACTTGTGTACACAAAATGCATTTGAGTAACTAAATTGAAATGAAACTGAAATTATAATCTTTTAATTTGACTTCAAATAATTCAAGTCGAATTTTTGTTTGTTATTCGACTTAGAGAATTTTGACTGTATTTTGCTTTGACTTTTGCTTCTACCCGCCATCAAATGCTTTGGATAACGAGAGGTATTGCTGAAAATATATTTATTTTTTGCTCTTTCGGTCACCACATTGCCTTTTATTTCTAAAGACGTTGGTTATTATTAGAGGACGCGTCAATTCATATTACAGCCAATACAAATAACATCAAGCGAGATAAGCCACCAACTGGAATCTAGAGTTTAGCTGGAGGATCAAAGACAGCTTCAACTAAAACAACGAATTCTCAGCTGATGATGATTATGGGTTGCTGCTCTCGCCTAGGTATTCATTTGGGCCACGCAGCATTCTTCTCCTCATTGCTCTACTCGCTTCACTTCTTCCTTTTTTTGGGTGTGTTCGACAGACAACGTTGCGACGGCAGAAAGTGAAAAGCCTTAATTTGTTATAGGCCGAAAACAAAAACAACAGCAACAACAACAACTCAAAATACATACCAGGTTCGTTGAGTTTATTTTTAAAGCCATTTAAGTGGCTGTGTGGCAGTGTGGTTGAGTGGTTGCTATGTGGTTGTCTTAACTATGCGCACGTACACGTATTCGCCGTTCCTTACATTGTTCTATAGCGTTACAGGAACGCATGAACATTTTTCACTTGTGCTGTCAAATTGGAACTTCGACAGCTTTTAAGCAGGGCAGCGCCACCAAGTCAACAAGCCACGCCACACCACTGACGGCGGCCTGGCGCTCAATCGGTGACTCTAGGCATATGTCCCTACGGACATATGCCTATCCTATACTCTATCCCAAAAAGGAAAAAAGTATGTGAGACTCTTGAATATATATAATTTTATTTAAGCGATGTTCTAGGAAATCAAAAAGATAAACTGGGAATTTTTTAAAGACAGAATATTGGAAAAATTCTCAAAATTCATGTTAACATTCTGCGCTAAGGCTTTGTTAAAATTGAAGAATCACATTTGCCTTACACAAATGATAAACCTTTATGTATTTTTGCCCAACAAGACTCTTGAGAAGCATAATAATATTATTTTGCCAGTCTGTTGCTTGGTCAATTAATTGAGGACTTGCAAACTGATCTTTAATGTTGAGCTGCGATTTGGCCCAGCTGATTGCAAAATAAGTGATTTGCGAGCGGTATCTGCTGCGTGATAAGGTGCAATCAGTCGCAGAAGAACAGCAATGCGGGTAAGGATTCAAATGCAGATGCAGGCAGGCAACGTAGCAATGTCTTTATAATTTGTCAATACATCAAGCACACAGTAAAACGATTATGATTACGATGACGATCGTGATTAATCCATAGCCATTGCAAGCAGAGCTGAGAATGTAGCTGCTGGCAAATTGTTTAAGATTTCCAACGACAAGAGCATCATGCTGAAATATAATAATAACTTTGAATGCTGAAATATAATAATAACTTTATTTTAACGCTGATGAGGAAATTAAGGCCGCCATCAACTTGTGTCTTGAGCAGACTAAGCCAAAGATGAAGAGCGCGCTTCGACTTGAGGCTTAATAACAATTCCATTAGCAGCTAATGTCTTCATAGCAAGTGTCAGTTTTTAGAGGGACGTGAGAGAAAGACGCGCCCCATCTCCCTATCCCTATCCCTCCGCCTCTCTCCCTCTCTCCCAATTGCTGACGTTAAACTGACTGGCCGGGCACTGCCTCCGACGTCGTCGTCGTCGTCATCTTCACCAGCAGCTTGGACTTTTGCTTAAAATCCCGATGTGAGCACACTCGGAAAAACTGTGCCCTCGAATTTAGAAAATCCCCATAAATCAGAACATTTTTTTTAAATAATTAAATATGTAAAAAAGTAAAATTAGCTTTACATATTTATGAAATGTATTTCAAAATCACATTAATATCTTGTCTAAATATGAAGCAAAATATTTTTTAAAATTGCATTTCTATTTTGCCAAAAAATTAGTTTAAAAATAAAAATCAATTAACTATTTCTGTTCCTAGAAGTCACCACACTTTGGAAATGTTTTTTGCTAATTTAAAACAAGTCCTTAGTAATGGTAATAATAAATTTCAAGTTTTCTGGCTCTTTTCTGCATTCCTGGGTGTATTTTTTTCGGAGTGCACCTGTCCAGAATTATGGCTTACGGAGAGCTCTCGCCTGTGTAGTCTTTGCCAGTCTTCTTGCCTGGCCATCTTTGACTACGTCGACGTCTTCGTTTCGCATGTCAGTTTAACACTTTGCCAAATCCTTTGAAGTCGAAGAGTGCGCTTTTTATTGTAGCGCACGCTTGATTATTGTCCAAAAATTTATTGCAATGTGCCGCACACTAATAAGCTCGTTCCCAACTCGTTCTAAATATGTATGTATGTATACATATGTATGCATTGATGCATGCATCTGCATTCCCTTTGCAGCTCAACTCACTTCGAGTTAGCACTCAAGTTGCCAACAAATGCGAAAATAATTGCTGCAACAAAAAACTGTGCTGACTGAGAAACCAGTGAGAAGCGGGAGTAGCTGAAGGAGGGGCGGACTTTGCTAATTACCGACATGATTGGAGCAGTCGCAGTCGCAAGCCGAAGAGCATCATCAAAAACTCCGCACAATAAGGAGATTGTTTTTAATGAACATAGTCAGCAATA